TCCTTCCCCCCTGCCATTAAATCCTGGAGCGAGCTCAGGCCGGTTTCTTGGTGCCCATATTCCTTGGGTAGCTGTGGAAGTGATTGTTGTTTGAAATCTGGGGCTGATATGTTCAGCCTTGGAGTTGAGCAAGGCTTAAAAGGAAAGAGGAGGAACCTGTTGGGCCCCGAAATGCTCACTGTGCAGAGCCGGCGTCCTGGCTCCTCGTGGCACATGTACCGCAGCTTGAGAGATGCCATCAGACCTTCCCATCGTGACATGCGGATTTGCTAAAGAGACATTTCCCTTTGCTTTGAGAGCCTTTAAACTTTTACTACTAATAATTTGGTGGTCACGCCGAGGCCTGCAAAAATGGTAACTGAAACGACTTGAATGTGGGGGGGGCAGATATGAAAAAAATGAGGGGCAGCACTTGGGACAAACTTTGTAATGCAAAAAAAAAAAAAAAAAAAAAAAAAAAGCCAGTGTAGTTTTTACTGAGGTGGAGTCACAGGTGACACTGGCGCGGAGTGTGGCAGCGATGTGCCACGCAAGGGGCTCCTCTGCCCCGTGCCGTACCACCAGAGCTGGCGTGAGAGCCACTGTGCATCCCAGCGGCTCCTGCTCAATGGCCAGCAGGGGTTCCTGTGCCTCCCTGTTTCCATCTCCATTTCTATTTCTTTTCCTCACTTTCCTTATGAGTCTCTTTTGCACCTATAATGGAAAATAGAGTAAGTGAGACTGTAATTAAAGGCTGTGCTGTGCCGTGCTGCATGCACACATGAATTAAAGCTGCACAGGCAGCCTTGGAGTGCATGGTCTTGCCTTTTAAGTAACATAATTTCACCACTGAAAAATATAATTTACCTCAGTAATGGCAGATGCGGGGGATTTTGTCGTTGCGAGGCTGGCTGGTACCCAAGCATACAAGGAGGACAACAGTAATCCCGGAGAGGTATGGACAGGATTATTACAGCCAGCGACTGGAAGGCGTTTGCTCACATTCGTTGATTTTCTTGGCCAATCTCGTGTTAAAAGAACCAATAATTTCAAGTGATGGTAATTTCTGTACACCAGCAGCCAAGAGAGAAACTTAAAAGCATTTAACGTGAACTGGCAGCAACTGCTGCAGATGGGGATCTCACGTTTCAGATCTGCCGTGTGGCTGGTGACTCTGGGACCATCACTTGGAGAGACCAGAGAGGATGGGACTTTATGGACCCAGCAGAGCAAAACAGCCTTGGCTTTTGTGTGTGTACTGAGTTGGGCTCAAGCGGCTGAGATTACAGCTGTCTTAATTTTCAGGAACAGAAAATCAGGGACAACTAGTTTATTGCCTTTTGCTCGTTATTAATTACCCCTTAAGAGCATTTAAGTCCCTTCCCTTGGTCCTGCATCAAGACTGATCTGTGTTCTCTCCTTGTTTTCACCCAGTCTGTGAAGATCAGGTTTTTGGTCATGGGGCAGAGCATCTCCAGATGAAGCAACCATTGTGGGGGGCTTTCTTGTGGATGGATTTTTGCGGTGATGGTCTGTAATGAAGCACCGGCAGCCTTTGCAAACACCCGTGAAGGGTTTCTCGAGTGCTCCCTTCCTTCCCTGCAGCCCCTGGGTTTGGCTGAGGTCTGCGGTCAGAGGAGAGGTGTTGGAACTGTTACAGCTGTGCTGGGTCTCAGCGGGTTTGAGCGGCTCCATCTCTGCTGCCAGGCGTGCTCCCTCATCTGTAGATACCTTTCTTTGCTTGCCCTGGTCCCTGCCCTCCTTTGTGGGGTGCACGAGGTAGCTGGAAGGGTGCGGAGCCAATACACCCCGTCTGCCGCCCGGCTCCGGGCTGACCCCGCTGCTCTGATGGATGGTCTCCAGAGACGCGTGGAGCATCCTGGGGCGAATCGAATAGCAGTGGTGCAAAACCTGGGCTTGAGACCCCATGGAGCTGGGGAGAGGCATGTTGAGGTCCCTGTCCCTTGGGGGTAACCGACTGCAGCCCCTGGGGGCTCCCTGTGCCACGGGGGAAGGGGCACCACCAACCTCACCGGGACCAAGCGGTTTCTCCTGAACCCAGATCGGCCCCGGGGCCGCAGAGATGCCCTGGTCTTGTTCATTATTAGGACCCCCATATTCCACCAAGGGCTTGTTTCTGCCTTCCCTCCCTGTCTCTGTCTCTTTGATCACCAGTGACCGACTTGAAGCTGTCAGCAGAAGATAATACAATTAAAGGGTGCTAATTTCAAAGGGATTTTATTCTTTAAAGTGTCTGGTTAACACGGCGGCCTCCTTCATTGCCTTCCCTGCTCAGCAAAGCCGTGAGCGCCAGCTTTGCAATTCCACCTGCGCAAAAGCAGATTAATCCTTGTTTTTACAAAGTGCTCTCCTGCTTAATACTGGATCTCTGATGAAATCGGGAGGGCTTGGGTTTGCTAAGCCCAAATTAAGGTGTGAAGGCTTTGGTGGGCTTTATGAAGTGGCCCATGAGCCCTGTCCCACTCCAGCACCAACTCCGACAGAGGGCAGGGGTGGCTTTCCCATTTGGAAAATACAAGGAGGAATTTAAATATATGGGGTGTAATTAATGACCTGCCTTGGAAAGCCTCTCAGCTGCCAGGGCAGGCAGCTTTACTCGACTGAAAGTTACTCCAAGATCTTTCATGGCAAAAGTCACCTGAAGGTTTTGCTGTTGCTCCGTAGGTGCTGTCTGAATACTCCATAGGTGCCTCCATGTGTAGCCCAACAGCCTCTCGCAATGCTTTAGATAAAGCTCTTGCAAGACCCAAATGTCTGACGTCCTCCTTAGAAGAGCTGCCCAGGGTTTTTGGGAGATGTCACGCAGGGGTATGGGGACACAGGCTGCTGTGCCCCCAGGCGTTGCTGATCCCTTCTCCAGCCCTGCCCAGGCTGCCCCTGCCCGTGCTGGGAAGGTAAGCGATGGGTTCCCTAACGAGGGCCAGCAGCCTGCCAGTCAGCTGCAGAAAAATCAATATCGCCGTTAATTGAAAGCAACCCTTGTAAATCATCAGAGGGGGAAGGAAATTAGAAATACTTCTGGAAGCCTCCTGGAGAGCGATTTACTGGGCAAGGGAAACACTCATTTCCAGTGGAGGTGTTGGTCCCCTGCTGGAAAGCATTTGGGAAGGAAGGAGGAGTTCTGAAGTGGCTGACCCAAGCTGGCACTGTAACCCGACAGTGCTGGGGCTCGGAGAAGCCTTTCCCTGGGGGCCAGGCTGCCCCCAACCTGCCCTGTGCCCATGGGGAGGTGGCACCAGGGAAAATGGGGTCTGCAGCGCTGGCATCCCTGGTCGTCCCTCTCCCCCACATAGTGGTTAGCCTGCAAAGGGTGTTATTTGCTAACGACTGATTCATCTTCAAGCTTAATTACTGCCAAGGCTCAGTTAATTTCCACACACTTTAAGTATTTGTTCTTGTAATCATTACATGACTCCATATTCCGCCAGTAATTAAAAGTCTCACAATATGACACTAAATGGGTGATGTTCCTGCATCCTGCCAGCCTGGCTCTATTAATTCCTGAATTGTCGCTGTTGATAAGCTGGCTTTGGAGAAATTGCTGCCAGATGCCACGGTCCCCTGCTATCCAGGTGAGCCTGGAGCGGTTTTTGACCCCTCCGTGCATCGTCCCTCTGTCTCCTCAGCACGCTGTGGGGCTTGGCAAGCGCATCGGCAAGGTGCGGCTGGTGCTGTGGGGTGTGGAAGCTGTCCAGGGCGGGCAGAGCCCCGAAGCAGCCCGCGAGGAAGGTAAGACCTGGCCTGCCATCCAGCCCAGCTTTGCTTGGTTGTAGTTTTGCCAAGCAGAGCTTGGCTGCGGGAGCAGCATCTGCTCTCTGATGCCACCGTGGGTGGGACTGGGAGGGCAGGGGAGCCCGGCAGCCAGCGCCACGGGAGCCTTCCTCCCCGTGCTCGCCTTCCTCATGGGTCCTGCAACCTGTTTCATCCCGGCAGAGGCAGCGAGTTGTTTCTTGCCAGCTCCTGAGGATGTCTGCAGCTCGGTCCTGGATGCTTTTGGTGTTGGGGACGGGCACAGCGCAGGGGGCTGTGCGGAGCCCTCCCTTCTGGGGTCCCCATCAGGGTCAGGGGAGGAGATGCATGGGGAAATTCATGCCTGGCAGCTGAGATAAATTGCC